AAATTCAATTTATTCTTTTAAAAACAATATATATATATATATATATAGTATATATTTTAGTTCCGATTTTTCATTCTATTAATTTTAATCAGACATATACACTGCTGACCATCGTAAATGCAACCCCCTGAAGGAAGCATGCAAATAACATGAAATTTACAACATGCATTAGCAGAGGTAAGATATGCAATGATTAGAATTTCAGCGCATACGCACATCATGGGCGCCTGTGGTGCCACTTCAAAGCGCTATTTAAGGCTTGGAGTTTTCGATGATTTCAAGTTCAGCAATTGTGTTTTTTTCAAAAAAACAATCAATTATGCCTCATAGTAAACAGCGATCATTGTTTGATCAAGTATCTGAGTTCGACAGAAGCCTACCGAGAGTATGGATTATCTTTCAGGGAAATTTGTAGTCGAGTTGGACGAAACCAAATAACTGTAATGCGGATATGTGACCGTTGGATGCAGGAAGGTACGATGGACCGACGTGTTCGATCGCATTCAACTCAGTGCAGCATGTCACGTGATGACAGGAACATTATGAGCATGCCAGTGACAGATCGCTCAGTCACATCACGAATCATAGCACAGCACATTCAGTCTGTAATGCATCTTCCAGTGTCTGTGCATACCATTCGACGCTGTTTACAGCAGAGTGGTCTGTCCACAAGACATCCATTGCTTCGTCTACCCTTGACACAGAACCACAGATGCTTCCGTCACCAATGGTGCGATGAAAGAAGGATGTGGATGGCAGAATGGAATGAAATTGTCTTTACTGACGAATCACGTTTCTGTCTGCAACACCACGATGGTCGGATTAGAGTTTGGAGACACCGTGGAGAGAGAATGCTGAACAACTGTGTCATGCACCGCCACACTGGTCCTGCACTGTGTATTATGGTATGGGGCGGTATTGGTTATCCCTCTCGTACTCCTCTAACATGCATTGCCAGTACTTTAAACAGCCAGCGCTACATCTCCGAGCTGTTGGAGCCAGTTGTCCTTCATTACCTTCAGGGCTTGCCAACAGCCATATTTCAACAGGATAATGCACAACCACATGTGGCACGCACTGTCCAAGGGTTCTTCGTCAATTGCCAGATTGAATTGCTTCCCTAGCCTGCTTGCTCTCCGGATCTTTCGCCGATAGAAAACATGTGGTCCATGGTTGCTGAACAATTGACCCAGATTACATCCCAAGCCCCCACACCAGATCAACTTTAGCAACGTGTGAAAGCTGCTTGGTCTGCTGTACCCCATGAATACATACCAAGTCTTTGAATCAATGCCGAGGCGTGTGGCAGAGGTGATCTTCAACAATGGTGGCTACTCTGGTTACTGATTCTGGAAGGATTCACAGAAATCTATAAATTTAATCATTTGATACTTGGTCAACATGTTATCTACTAAATAAATTTGGTTGCAATATCTCTTGTCTTTCTTGGTGTTGCAATTTGGGTCGCCAGGGGTATATATGTGTGTGTATGTATAATGTGATAATTTTGTATAGATAACTTGAGGATTAGAAGGTAACAGTTAATGACAAGATGTTATCTGTATAATTACTCGGAAAGGCTTTAATGTGTAGATTTACAAGATGATATAACAAAGACAGAATTCACCAAAAAATATATATACATATATTTATTCTTGGTCTTTCTTGATATGCATAAACATGTTCATACATCATTTTGGGTGCATTAAGCGCCCTCCACACATTTATGAAATGGAATACATCATTAGATGATCGCTGAAGTAGAGAAATATGCAATGCATGTTTATACAGCATGAGAAAGACAGGAAAAAGTGACTTTGTATTTCAACACAGTGTATTTATAGAGTTAAATCCTTTGTTTAAATTTTGAATGGTGACTGGCCAAAAGCTAACCGTACTGCAGGACTGATGATGACAAAATACAGATTAGGGTAAAAATGCATTTCAGGATGCCCCTTGGTGCAAAATTGGCGATTGGCCAGCAAGGCACAATTTCAAGATGGCCACTACACAAAACCAAAATAACAAGTCCAAGAATCGCACAAACTTGGTGTCCATGTGCATATCAATCTATTTTCACTTAAAAAAACATCAGAGAATGGCACAAATATGGCACTGCATACTCTCTTAAATTTGTCCATGTAGACATCGATCTATTTTCCAGTAAAAAAAAAAAAAAAAATCAGGAAAATGATGACATCATATAATGTTAAAACAAAGTTACTCATCACCAAAACTGAACAAAGTTTGTAGCCAATCGAAGCTCAACAAACTGCACTTTAAATCATACAATGAAATAAAATAAAAAAGGAAATACATGCTATCACATATACACACTACAAAAAGGAAATTTCAACTTACCATATTTAGAAATTTCTGCACTTTCCACATAAATTCACAAAAATAAAAGTAAAAAATATTCTCTGTAGTGCCAGACAGTCAGTAGCATTTCTTGCATCAACCTTTCTTGCAACAAACCCATTCAAAGCCATCTGAATGATCTTTACATTCAACTATATGCATTTCCTTCGTACAAACAGGACACTTATAATGACTAAGTAAACCTTCATTTGCATACCAGTCAATTAATGTTTTTTTCCCTTTCATTCCAAATTGTATAGAAACTTCAAATTAATCTCACCCATACAGCCATTTTACAGTGTACAGTACAAAATAAGCAACATACTTCCTAACTGACATCCAACACAGAAATAAGCCCTTAGAAGTATTTTCCCATCAGTCAAATTTACCGCAATCACGCAACCAATCACGTCATAATAGGGTTTCCATAATATTTAACTGCTCAGGTTACCATAAATGAAACAATTTAGCGATAAATGAAAAAAAAACTTTCCGATAATCCAAGGGTCACCCTAAACTATAGACTAACCCAGATTAGTTTTTAAGTGACGCAGTTTAGATTCCAGGAACAAAACATAGCCAAATTAAAAACAGAAGTTAAAAAGGCTATTGTTAAATTAAAGTGAGCAATTTTCTTTCACATTTTATATCTTACAAATATGTAAACTAATGTATATACATACAAGAATTTAAATTCATCATAAAAGTTTAAGATTAATGAATATGTAAATAGTATTATATATGTATCTTACGAAATTTTATGATGAATTTAAATTCCTTATTCATATTTATAAGTATTTTTACCTCTAAATAACAGGCTTTAATTATAATGAAAAAGGGATATAAATAAAAAATTAAAAGGTCAGGGTAGTAGATTTACAGAAATGCTACTACCAGTGTATCAAACTTGAAATACTTCGGCTAATCTTTGGAATATGGTAACAGGTAGTTTGGCGACATTTTGGTAGGCGATAAAGGTTACTACCTAGGACTTTGGGAATAATGTGAGAAGTACTCAGTTCCGATTACACATTATTTTGTGTGAAGGAAATGAGAGATCATGAGATATGTCATGTGACATTAATGGACGAATTATAGTTCTTTAATCGGAAAAGGGGGGAAATCTGGAAATTTTGTATTTAGCTTCATTCTGTGTTGTGTGAAACAGTGTTGGTTAATTTTTGGATCCCATGGCCCTATCTAAAGTGAATTCAAAATGTGTATTTAGTGGGATTGAAAGGGGTAGTAATAAGTGTTTTTTTAAGGTTGTGCGAGATAGAAGTAAAGATTGCTTATTAAGTTTTATTAAGCGGTATATTCTACCTGGTACAATAATAATATCTGATTGCTGGAAGTCATATGTCTGTTAGGAGGATGAAGGTTTTCAACATCTTGCTGTGAACCATAAGTATGATTTTAAAGATCCTGAAACAGGCGCATATACGATTGCTTTTTATTTAGCAGAGGAAATAAGAAAAGTTTATCCGCCACGTAATCAAGATTCTGAAGAAGTTTAGGTAAGTTAGTATTTTTAATTATTCGAGGATATTATTTTTATGCATTATTCTAAATGTAAGGAGTAAATAAATTAATATGGTATTATTTGAAAATTGTTATTAGCAATGATTTAGTTTAAAGTAATTAGGATTGCAAGCTAATTTTCATTAATTTAATGTATGTGCTTATTTATATTTTAAGTAGTGTTTTTTTTTAATTTAATTATATTTTAATTAAATGATAGTTATTTTGTGAATTATATGTTTGTAGCAATTTGGTATACGTTTCAGTGGAAGTAAACGTGCATGGAAATAATTTAAATATTTGACACTAAGTATTTGCAACCATTTTTAATGTTTGCGTTATAAATTCGTTGGTGACGTTTATAATAGATAATTTAGAGGTAAAAGTTTTTGGATATTATATTTATATTATACGTGGAAATGTTCATCCTTGGAAAGGGTATATACTTTTTCGCGATCAGGTAATTTCATATATGTGCTTTTTATTAAGTTTAAAGATTCACAAAATTTTCCTGCAAATTTTTGTAATTTATGAGAAAATAGCAGTGTAGATGGATAAAGTCAAGAGTGTGCGCAATGCCATTTTTGTGCAATTCTGGGATTTTTTTTAAGTAAAAATAAGTCGACGTGTACATGGTTTACTGTGTATGTGCGATTCTGAAAAACGCGGCAAGGAGTTTTGCGATTCTGCAACCTTTTCCCAATTTTTGCAGTTAATATTTGTCATGATTAAGCAGTTTTGTTCCATAAAATTTCTAGCCATAAGTGTAATTCGGCTAGCAGATTGTTGGAAAAAAGTGTTGAGTAAATAAAAAGAAAAGAAACATGTCTTTACTTTGTGAAGACAAAATGGCGGCGAAAAAAAAATAGAGGGTTGCTGTAGCAGAGTTTGTCGCCAAATTTTCGCCAACCATAATCCAAAGATTAACCAATACTTCTTTTGGTGTCATCGTTATCTCCCAATTTCGCCATTATAAAATTATCAACTACATTACAAACAAACAAAAAATAAAATAAGCGTATTATTTTTGTGGTTGTGTTCGATTTTTACATGCGTTAATTTATATATAATACTTCAAAATAAAAGCAAGACTTACATATACTTAATTATCGTAATACCTTTACTTCTCGTAAGCTCATGCAGGTTCCAGAGATGGATTTATGGAATCATGCAAAATCACAATTCGAAAAAACCTCCAACACGTAAAATAATAATAATAATAAACAGTGTCTTATGATGAGAGACCACTAAAAATCCATGTTAAATGAGACAACCATTCCATAACTGCCACCAGAATTTTCTGATTAAAAAAAAAAAAAATGATTTTTAATTCTGTTCAATAAATCAAAACAAGTTATATCTACTTATTTTTCTCATCAAGTCACAAATTTCAAAAATATTTTAAATGGTTTGTTCCTTTCATCAACTAAAAACAACTTTTGAAAGGCAGTATTTTTTACATTCTCATCACTTGTTTTTAAATTTACTTAATATTTAGATTGTAATACACTTATTTATACACAAAGTAGTAGTAACAGATTTCTACAGTGATATTTTCTTTAGACAGCTAATGTTACTCAGAAAAAATTCCACTAATTAGGAAAAGAAGTTTCTTTGAGTGCATGCATTAAGTTAAGTTGCATAAAATTACACTATTTTTATATTTTTGTTAGAGACTGATACAGTAACTTGTTATAATCTTTAGCAAAAGCGCTAATGACCACTTCAAGTAAAACATGTTTGCCAATTACATATGAGTTAAATTATAAGTGCATAAATGCAATAACAATACTTAAAAAGGTTAAAATTTTATTAAATACTGTGGATATAGTATCCACAGCATTTTAGGAATAACAGATTTTGTGCATAATTTTAGGAAATAAAAGAACCCGCAATTGTCCATCTTGTTAAAAATATTATTAAATACAAAATATAGAACATAATTATTTAATTCAAGGAAAAAATCAACCAACCCTAAGCATTTAAAAAAAAAGTATCTATGATGATACAGTTGTTATATACAGTCACACTACCGATTGCATTTATTGGTTCGATTACAAGTACGACTTATCACACAGAATTAGACAACGGAAATTAAAATTAATTACTTCATACAGTGAGAAAAAGAAAGCTCAAATTATTCAAATTAATCAAATAATCATCCTCCTCTAGTTCACATTTTCAATTTAAAAAAAAAAAAAAAAAAAACTACGGTACTCCTTACATAAATGGTAAAAATCAAAAGAAAAAATATGACGCAGCTATATAGATTTTAGATTTATTTGAAATAATTATTTACCAGCCTCTTGAGGTAGGAACTTTTCTCTAGTTCACAAGCAAATGCCATATGACAGAGAAAATCGGCAGCTGTCCCTAGACTGCCATATTTCTTAAACATCAGCACTTATTCTAATCTAAAATCTGACGACTAGCCGCATTACAATGTTTACAGTTTTATTTATTTTAAATCTTATGACGTTGCCAAACCGCATGGTATTTATACATTCAAAAACCAATGCTTGTTAAGTTAAGTTCAAGGAGTATAAGAGTTATCTGAGTTATAGATAAATGTAGAAAACCGAGAACCAAATTTCCAAATTTTAAGTGACGAAGATATTATTCGCTGCGTAGATCTGTAGTATAAAACTTGCAAAGATGCTGAGGATCATGATGAAACGGAAAATGTTAAAATTAGCCATGCTGAAGTCTCGGTTTTGGTTTAAATGGCTTATAGCCAAACGCACGGTGCAGGAATGGAGTTCGGAAACACTTTTAAGGGCAAAGAACAACTTTATACTACATTAGAGGAAGGGGGGAACATTAAAGCTTGCATGTAAAAAAAAAAAAAAAAAAAAAACAGCCCGTTCGTCGGATATCGTCTCGAACTATCAGTATTCAGCTTGTAGAGTCATTAGGTTATTTTCAAAAAGGAGGGATGAAAAATGAGCAATGCCCTCGCCGGGACTCGAACCAAGGACCTCTCGAATGCGCGCCAAGCGTGCTGGCCATTACACCACGAAGGCATGCTAAGAAGGGGAGAGGAATACCTTATAAGCTGTTTTACAGCTTGACATTAACAGACCCTAAAGCATTGAGCAAAGCTCTCTTAAAGAATTAAAAAGTATTTAAAGAAACGTCTTGATGCTTCTCCTATCAATTTTTTTTTTTTTTTTTGATAAAAAAACTGGCATGCTAATGCGGAAAGTGACAAAATTATAGGACTGTCATAATTATTGAAAAACATATCTCATAAAAACGCACATAAGAAGTGTGACAAAACTTCAAAATTTGCATAAATATTGAAGGAGTTCGCTTATTTTAGTTTTTACAAATAATCCGAACCGTATTTTATTTTTTGACAACAATATTTTTTTCACAACTAAAATCCTGTATATAATATTTGTTAATTCAAGGAAACGCATTTTATCTATTAATAAAAGAATTGTAATTTATGTTTATTGACCACTTATCTTATTATGTTTTCTGTACTATCACTTTTACTTTCGTCTGCTGCTACCAGAATGCAGATTAGTTAATGTGTATAAAAACAGAGTCTTAAAGTTAGGAGAGAGCGAATTCACGGACGTATTAGGTACCGGGCTGGTGGTGGAGTAGTGATTTGCTGCTTGCTCGCGGTGGTGAGTTTTTCCTCGCTCTTGATTGCCGTTACTCTGCTAACTGCTCGCATATTTCTGCACTTGTTGGCACATACAGAAGGTTTGTTCCCGTTGAACCTTGTGTTCTGGGGACGGTAAAAAGTCCTTGCGTGCCCTATTTCTTGCCTAGCTCTAATTTTCTTGACTTGGACTTGATCTGGAAAATGTCAATTATTCAGCAAATTGTGGATCGCTTTCATGCACTGACTTTCAGGAATGATAGCCTGACCCCCTATGAGCAAGTTGAATTGGCATTCCTGAACAGATTTATGGATATAATACATAACACGGAAAGAGATTTGGCCTCTCAATCTGAGTCTAACCATTCTAACGATGTGGATTCAAGCATGGAATGGATTACCCCCAGCCACAGTGTTAAACGGCCGCTCAGCCCTGAAAAGTCAGCCGAATTGGATTTGAAAAACAAATACCATGTGCTAACTCAGCTTCCTCCCGAAAAAGCTCATACCCATGGTACTGAACGAAGTACTCACTCAACTACCCAAGGCGATGTTGCAGTAAAACGCAGGATGAAACCGAGGGCTGCAAAAGCTGATGATTCATCCAAAAAGCCGAATGAAATCTCCTCCACAAACCCATCTAAAGTAGCGGCCAGTAGCCACGCTAAAGTGGAGCCATCTAGTGAATCCTCCGAGAAGCCGGCTGCAAGTACGTCCCTGACGGAAAGCATGGTGCGGCCTATCGGAAATACAGATGAGGTCACGTGCCCGGCTGGGCAAATAAGTGATGCTCATGTATCTGAAGAATTTAAGTTTCCGAAAAGAAGTTCGAAGCTTCCGCCGATTGTCATTAAGGATTCAAACTGGAAATGGAAGGATATTACTGATCTATTGGATAACTCCGGCTACAGTGAATTTAATGCAAAGATGAAAGCCGTAGATGAATTTGAAATCAAAGTCAATTCCAGTGAGACTTATCGTAACATCACGGACCTCCTTGACGACAAAAAGATTAAATTTCATTCATATCAGCTTGCTGAAGACAAAAACATCAAAGTCGTCATTCGTAGCCTTCCGATTGACACCCCAGTTACGGATATCCAAGATGCTCTCATTGCAGAAGGATACGCTGTTAAAAAGGTTGTACAAATGTCTCGCCGAAAAGGTCCTGAAATTGCCCCCATGCCTCTATTCCTGATCTTGCTAGAAAGGAATGAGAAAACCAAGGACATTTTTAATAATCTAAAGTATCTTATGAGGCGAAAGATACAGAGGTAGACGCGGTATCACGCAGTGCTTCCGATGCCAAGACTTTTACCACGCTCAAAGTCAATGCCGTCACGCACCACGGTGTGTCAAATGTGGTCAGGGGCATGAGTCTCGTGACTGCACCAAGCCCAAGGATGTGCCACCAAAGTGCTGTCATTGCGGACTTCCTCATACTGCCAGTTTTAAAGGTTGTTCGTTCTACCCCAAGCCTCGCTCATCCTTTGTGCAAAAAGGCATATCATATGCAGATAGAGTAGTCAACAATAGTAATGCTACTCCCCCACAGATGGCGCCACAAGCAACCTTCCCACAACTCAGTGAGCTTCAAGCAAAGCTCGACGAAGCTAATGCGGTAATTCAAAAGCTCACAACAGCCATCTCTATGTTTGCTGATGTAGCGAAGGCACTTCCTACCGCCTCTATGATAGAGGACACAGTCAGGCCAGCTTCCCCCAACCATGGATAATCCCACCTCCCGGCAAAGTTCTCCTGTTAAGATCCTGCTCTGGAACGCGCAGAACGTTACCTCCAAGATACCGGAACTTCATGAATTTATCCAGCAAAATGACGTAGACATCTGCTTAATTACAGAAACCCATGCTAACCCTTCGCACTCCTTAAGGATAGCCAATTATTTCAGCTACCGTAGTGACAGACTCCACCACCGTGGTGGCGGAGTGCTCATTTATGTTAAAAGGACATTTGATTCATATCTGAAAAGTGCAGAAAATTGTGATGGAATGGAAAGTGTTAAAGTGATGGTGAATCTACCCAACATTGGGGATGTCACTTTCTGTGCGGTGTATAACCGCCCTGGGAACAAGCTCAGTGCTGAAATTCTGGATAGACTTATTAACTCAGACTCCTCCCCCACCTTTCTAGGTGGCGATTTAAACGCCAAGCATCTCGACTGGGGATGCCGCAACTCGAATTATAATGGACGCATAGTGCATGATTTTGTGTGTAATTACCCTGTCTTTCTGCATGTGCCGGATGAGCCTACCTATAGGCCAAATATACTCAACCATCGGCCTGACATTCTGGATATTTTTATTACGACGTTCAATATTCCTATGGCTATTACGGTAACATGTGACATGTCTTCTGATCATGTACCTGTGCTTGCTTACCTTGGAGTGGAAAATGCTAAGAACCTACCGCCAATTAAGCATACTGATTGGAATCTTTATCATAATACTTTGATGACCACTGATTTTAATTGTGACTCGTTACAAAGCACTTCGGATATTGAACGTGCTATAACAGACTTTACTTCGTACCTGCATTCTGCTAAGTCCCTAGCTACGACTGAGGTTGACCGTGTCAGACATGAGCACACGCTTCCTGCCAATATTCGCGAAATAATCTGCTTTCGAAATCATCTCCGAAAGGAATTTAATCTCACCTGGGATCCTGCTATCAAAACTCAAATTAACAGGCTTAATAGGAAAATCAAGCAAAAGATTCAGGACCATCGTTCTAGCTTATGGCAGGATAAGATGGAAAAGATCAACGACGAACCTGGCGCCATCTGGCGTCATACAAGGACACTAAAACGCCCCTGCTCTGCCAGAAAACCGCTTAAATGCGATAACGGATTTGCTTACTCCGATCAAGACAAAGCGGAACTTTTTGCGGAACACCTTTCTAAACAGTTCATTCCAAATTCCTTCCCCTCAGATCATAGTTCGGACATTCAAGTTCATTACCTTAACGATCAATGGCTGCACTCCCCTTCTACGGAACCTTCTATCAAACTAACCACGCCGCACGAAGTGCAGAACATTATTAAGGGACTTAAATTAAAGAAAGCTCCAGGAAAGGACAAGATCACGAACCAGATGCTGAAAAACATGCCTTTTAAGACCGTATGCAAATTAACAGGCATTCTTCTCAATGCATGTTTGTATCAAAATTATTTCCCGCTTTTCTGGAAGCAAGCAAGCATCCTGATGATTCCTAAGCCAGGGAAAACACAGGATTACCCGGCAAACTTTAGACCCATCAGCCTGCTGTCCTCCATAAGCAAGATTCCTGGAACGTATTATTTATCTCAGAATGCAAGAAAACTTGGACTTTCTCGTTGATCACCAGCACGGTTTCCGGAAAGGACTTTCGACCACAACGCAGTTAGTCAGGCTCACGGAGTTCATCGGCGCGGCTATGCACAACAGAATGAGTGTTGCTATCCTGATGCTAGACGTGGCAAAGGCTTTTGACCCGCGTCTGGCATCCAGGGCTAATCTATAAGCTAATTCATCTCGGTTTCCCCAGAAATCTGATACTCATTATCAAGTCCTTCCTTGAAAATAGAACTTGCACCGTTGGAGTTGGAAATGCAACTTCATGTGTCAAAAATATTTACGCAGGTATTCCTCAAGGGTCAATTTTAGGCCCGCTTTTTTACATCATCTATACCAACGATTTCCCTTGCTTTTCCGAGGATACAAATGTTCTCGCAGCCAGCTACGCTGATGATACAGCGATAGCCACCAAGTCTCTAAACCCAGAGTATGCCTTGTCAAGAATTCAGGCGAAAATCCCTGCTATTGAGGGGTGGTGCAGTCGCTGGAAAACGTG